ATAATTGTTGTTTATGTGATTCTTCGGCCAACCTAATATCACTCTCCAACTTAAATTTAATACATAAATATAATTATGTATTACCTACACATACATTTGGTGATTAATTATATCAAATTCCACTAATTTAGCAGCTCTTTCATAATTCCAAACCAAATATTAACTAACACAAGAAACAATCTTCCAAACTTTCGTGAGTGAGGGATATTTTTAAGAATAGGCCAGTCGTACCAATATTTACTAATCTTAGAATAAATATAATTATATTTATATCCAGTAGGTATAGTTTTGTATCTTTAAGAACAGAATAGGGGGAATTTTACAAAATTTGGTCTAATCGATTGTTAATCTTAAGTTAAGAATAAGATTATTTCATTTAAAGTCTTTCTTTACATTTAATATGCAAGAATAAGATCTGCTTGTTTAAAGAAGGATTAATATTTAGTTTAATGTTAGTTTTAGCCTTGACAATATTAGGTCAATCATCTTGTTTCAACTGTACTTACGAGGCGCCGTTTGCGTCAAAATAGAATTGTAGAAAATAAATTATTATATTTGATACCTATACCTATTTTGTGTTTTCTATACATTTTCAGTTAAATTCTATATTTTGTGAGAGATATTATACTTATTTTCTACACTTCTATAGAAAATAGAAAATAGAAAATATATTTTGACGCAAACGGCACCTCATATGTACTTGAATGAATCAAGTTGATTGTAAGCTAAGAAATAAAATCTTTTTAATTTAAGTATAGGTTAATATTTAAAAGAAATTTAATGCATTCGTAGCCCTAGCAAATTAGTCTTAAAACCAATATACTGCCATAAACCATTCACGGAAGAAACATTATGCAATAGAATTAGGTAAACATAATTATTTTAAGATATTTTAAGATTAACATTTTCCATTTAGTAATGAACTTAAAGAGCGATGTTTATGAACAGTAAAAAGTAAAATCTTTTTAATTTAAGGATAGGCTAATATTTAAAATAAATTTAATGTATTCGTAGCCTAAGCAAATTATACTTAAATCAAGTGAATTTTTAGGGACCTGGTCGTAGTATGGTTACATTTTAAAACCTAATCGGCGTGCACACATCCTATTGGAACAGGAAATAAATAAGGGAATTTTCACGTTTTTAGCGGTGGCCTGGTTTCGATTTCCAATGGAGCTTTACAAGCCATTCGAAATAATAAATAAAAGTTTGTTTCCTATAAAACAGCGATATCACAAGGCGGCCAAAACAGTTTGCCTGTATTTTTCGCCAGATACATTGCAGCTTGCCTTCATCTTAATCCCGGACAACATCGTTATCCCTTGACATTTTTGCTTTTTTTTCTCTCCTCGCTGAATACTGAATACAAATAATTATTTAGCAGAGTTTTCTTTTCAACATTCAAAGTATGTATTGATTTTGTGTTATTTAAGGATTTAAGATTAGGATTTGTTCTTTAGTCCTATGTTTTAAATGTCAAATTTATGCAAATGAATGGATCTTGCAAATATGCACCTTAAATTATTTATTATTTAAGTTAAATATCTAGACAGCTAAATATAAGGTAAGGTGCTTATTTCACACAATTATTGCTTAACTTACATACAGATACCTAATATTTAATCCAAAAGTAAATTTTGTATCGCCAAAAATTATAACATTTGTATAAAAAAATACTTATTCTTCAATTAAGCATAGTGTATATTTTATTTGAGGGTGCTTGCATTTAAAATAATAATAATAATAATAATAATAATAATAGTTTTTCTTGAAAAACGAATAAGTTTCCCCTTAAACCTAACATTGAAATTATATCCAAATAACTATAGGTTAGTTCTTGCATTTAACTCCCTATATTCATCAAATAAGTATTAATTTAAATTACAAATAAGAATAAATTAATCCTTAAATAAAAAGTATATACATTGTGTTATGTAATTAATGTTATATATTAAAATACTGATTACCTTTTGACATAAGGAATAAAGGAAAAATATTTTAAAAAGCATTTTTCCAAAGATAAAGAAAAAATATGCATTAGAAGTTTTTTATATTTTTGTGATACGCCACTGGTTACACACTTGTTTATCTCTGCACACCTGTATTTTGTGAGTACATAGATACCAACCAACAAAGTAGCTATGCGTTGCCAGATGTAAAAAATTGTTACTAAAAATTTTTCTTGCAAAAAATAAATAAAAACTCAATAAATACAAAAGTTTTATGCCCTTAAAGCTCTAATACCCTTCTGTATTTATTTACTGATCCAGCTATTAGCTTAAGCAATGATTAGAAAATTTAGTACCTTTGAAATTTGAAATCCATAACCACAAAATTAATTTTTTCATCAGTTTTTTTCTCTGTTTACTCAGATGAAATTGGGACCAGTTCACAGGTTAAACTTTAAACATTTAATTTGTGTAAATAAATCCAAAAGCACTTCCCTTATAACTATAGTTAAGATATTTACAATTTGAAAACATAACCTAAAATTTAAAAGAAATGCGCTAGATTCTGTCATAAAAGTTGGCAGATTTTGTTTGAATTTACCTTCAGTACAAAAATGAAATAACCAACAATTAATAAAAACGCCAAATTGACAATTTGCATTGTTAATTTTGTCATTTTTGTAATTAAGCTAAATTTAAACAATGTTTGTCAACTTTTTTGAGAGATTTTTCAAACACTGTTGTTACCAACCATAACATAATAAATCCACCAGATTAACCTAAAGTTCCTAGTCGATCAGTGGCGTACTTTTTGGTAGGATAAAGGTTATTATAAATTATTTTTAGACTTTGGAATTTAGAAAAAAAAAGTTTCAGGTGCTTCTTTATGGACTCTAAGGAACAACCCATTTTAATATATAACATTAATTACATAACACCCTGTATACTTGCGGAATGGTGAGATGAACCTATACTTGAACTGAGATGATTAATCTTTAATATAGAATAGCTTATTTTCCGTGTAAAGAAAAAAAATAGGAAATTCGTCTCTGAATAATTTAAGTTTTAAATTATGTATCTTTGTTCAAGCGTAATTTTCATGTTATAACACTGGTATTAGCTGTTTTTTCCTTGGCCACAACCTTCATGTATTTATTTTCATCGCAGCAATGTTTCTGTATAAAACCATCGTGAACAACTTGTTTTAAAGTCTGCTTTGCAAAATAAAAAGCAAATGAGTTTGTAAAATTTATTTTGTAATATTATACCTATTTTTTTCGAGAATACATCTTCCAAATTGCGGATGCAATTTTTCTCGAAATCACAACAGCAATATAAACGCCCTTTATCATAAATATTACACTTACATTTTGATAGGTGAATAATTTCCAGAACTGTTGGTTCTTTTGGTATCTTTTGGTGTGATATGGATGGTAACGCATGTTTCTATACCAGCAGATGGAATTATTAGGATATATTTTCGGATTGATTTCATGCATGTCGAACTCGGACAAAGTATAGTTTAGGTAACCCTCAAAGGATCCAGTTGTGTATTCGTATAAATATGGAAGTTCGGATGAAAAAATTAGACCAACTGAGTTAACAAATATGCTGGTGTAAGTTATAAACATTAAAATTTGTCGCCAGGATGCGAGATTGTGGATTATTTTTGGAATTGGTCTTTTATATATTTTAACGAAACGGTATGCTTCGATTCTTACAATGATTAGTACAGTTAACCAGTAAAAAAGTGGTGCAAAATAATTTGCGAAAGAAAACATTGTCAGAGATCCGTGTAGAGTCATTATCTTGAGGAACTGGGTGGGTAGCGAAAATTGATTTACGCTTTCTAAAAGATACTCGTTTTCGTATTGGTGTAAAATGACTTTGGTGGTAGACTTGGTGGCCTTTTTTAAAAGGGCAATTAATATACCCAAAACAGGACCAATCAAATTACAAAAAGCACGGAACGTTTGTACAAGGAGTAGGGTGAGGAAGCATGTATTTGGCTGAAATTCGTCGTATATCAAAAACCCCCATAAATGTGAACTTTTTTGTGGATATGGTATATTGTAAACCAAGCCTTTACCAATAGCAAAATAGAAGAGAACACTAAACTGATTTAATGATCTAAATAAATATCTCATAATCAAAAATTGATTATCGTACCTTGTTTGGTATTTATGTCTTTCGAAGTTGCACAACATTATAACAACCTTGGTAATTAATTCAGCACTAAATGTCATGAAGCAATATTAAATTATATAGATGATTTCGTCATGGAAATCCAGATTAATATTCCAATTGTCTTTCAATAACATTTTAACCCCGATCATAAAGTTAACGTTTAGCCATAAAACTAGCACCAGTATTGTAACCGTAACAATACAACAAGTAAACACCACAATTTTTTTCCCGAGAAACACTGGCCAGGGCATGTAACCTTTCTTTGTTCCAGCCAGTCGAGATTTTCATCTTTATGGACTTTCTCCTTAAACTCAGTTCTTTTGTCAGCTTTTAGTTAAAACTGATAATTTCCATCGTTCTTTTCTCGTTTGTCCCACATGATAAACGAATACATCATGGTGCCCAAGTTATCAAATAACAACGTGTTCTTTAGCAGTTCACACCTGTGTGGAAAATTTGCGGTTAAACATCTATGTCCCAGGATACAGCTGCTACAAAGAAGAGTTTTCCTTTGACACAAATTCCTTATATAATTTTGATTCGAATAATTGGTTTAGTTGACGACATATTAAAAAATCGTTACTATTGAGTACCAGGAAAAATCGTCATATTTGCACAAAACTCCAAAAATGCAAAATAGAAGGCCATCTCGACACCGTAATAATTTTTAATAAAATCCAACTAATGTCCCTTGTGAAACGCTCTTAAATTGCTCCAATATTTTCGCAGCAAGCTTCTGACATTTAAAAGTCCATCGTTGTTTAAATCTTTCTGTATAAAACCATCGTGAACAACTTGTTTTAAAGTCTGCTTTGCAAAATAAAAAGCAAATGAGTTTGTAAAATTTATTTTGTAATATTATACCTATTTTTTTCGAGAATACATCTTCCAAATTGCGGATGCAATTTTTTTCGAAATCAAAACAGCAACATAAACGCCCTTAATCATAAATATTACACTTAAATTTTGATAGGTGAATAATTTCCAGAACTGTTGGTTCTTTTGGTATCTTTTGGTGTGATATGGATGGTAACGCATGTTTCTATACCAGCAGATGGAATTATTAGGATATATTTTCGGATTGATTTCATGCATGTCGAACTCGGACAAAGTATAGTTTAGGTAACCCTTAAAGGATCCAGTTGTGTATTCGTATAAATATGGAAGTTCGGATGAAAAAATTAGACCAACTGAGTTAACAAATATGCTGGTGTAAGTTATAAACATTAAAATTTGTCGCCAGGATGCGAGATTGTGGATTATTTTTGGAATTGGTCTTTTATATATTTTAACGAAACGGTATGCTTCGATTCTTACAATGACTAGTATAGTTAACCAGTAAAAAAGTGGTGCAAAATAATTTGCGAAAGAAAACATTGTCAGAGATCCGTGTAGAGTCATTATCTTGATGAACTGGGTGGGTAGCGAAAATGGGTTTACGCTTTCTAAAAGATACTCGTTTTCGTATTGGTGTAAAATGACTTTGGTGGTAGACTTGGTGGCCTTTTTTAAAACGGCAATTAATATACCCAAAACAGGACCAATCAAATTACAAAAAGCACGGAACGTTTGTACAAGGAGTAGGGTGAGGAAGCATGTATTTGGCTGAAATTCGTCGTATATCAAAAACCCCCATAAATGTGAACTTTTTTGTGGATATGGTATATTGTAAACCAAGCCTTTACCAATAGCAAAATAGAAGAGAACACTAAACTGATTTAATGATCTAAATAAATATCTCATAATCAAAAATTGATTATCGTACCTTGTTTGGTATTTATGACTTTCGAAGTTGCACAACATTATAACAACCTTGGTAATTAATTCAGCACTAAATGTCATGAAGCAATATTGAATTATATAGATGATTTCGTCATGGAAATCCAGATTAATATTCCAATTGTCTTTCAATAACATTTTAACCCCGATCATAAAGTTAACGTTTAGCCATAAAACTAGCACCAGTATTGTAACCGTAACAACACAACAAGTAAACACTACAATTTTTTTCCCGAGAAACACTGGCCAGGGCATGTAACCTTTCTTCGTTCCAGTCAGTCGAGATTTTCTTCTGTATGGAACTTTCTCCTTAAACTCAGTTCTTTTGTCAGCTTTCAGTTGAAACTTTGATAATTTCCATCGTTTAATAAGTTCCTTTTCTCGTTTGTCCCACATACTCAACACAAAAGACGCCCATATAGACATGGTAATCGAATACAGCATGGTGCCCAAGTTATCAAATAACAACGTGTACTTCAGCAGTTCACACCTGTGTGGAAAATATGCGGTTAAACATTTATGTCCCAGGATACAGCTGCCACAAAGAGGGGTTTGCCTTTGACACAAACTCCTTATATTATCTCGATACGAATAATTGGTGTAGTAGTTGACGACAGAATAGAAAATCGTCACTATTGACAATATAACAGGAAAAATCGTCATATTTGCATAGAACTCCAAAAATGCAAAATAGAAGGCAATCTCGACACCGTAATAATTTTTAATAAAATCCAACGACTGTCCCTTGTAAAACGCATTTAAATTTCCCCAATATTTTCGCAGCAAGCTCCTGACATTTAAATCTTCATCGTTGTCCAAATCTTTCTGTATAAAACCATCGTGGAGACCGTACGCTTTTGTAACAATTTTTTTCCTTATGAGTTCATCCACTCCCCTTTCCGACGTTTCTTCGCCAAATTTGGACAATTTGAGGACCTTATCTATGAAGAAAATTCTTCCACAGTAGTCCACCGCTTTGGTAGGGTCCATGTAGGCCAAGGGAGTTTCGAAAACACCGAACCCATCGCTGGGCAATTTGTAAATCATTGCGTGGGCTGCTCTCACTTTATCCCACAACGGATAACGAACTCTCATGAAAGTCCACAATTCCAGCGGCAAGTGCAGCTTCACAAACAGGACCGCATGTAGAATGCCAAACGACTGCTCCAATTCTATGCCCATGTTTTGCAAATTTCTCAAAAATATTGTCAAAATTTCCTCGTTTTCTATCGCACTTACTTTTGTTATCACCAATACAAAGTCCACTTTACGCAGGCCATCTTTAAAGTACGAATTTTGCTTTTCAAAAAGTATTTCATCCATTTTATGCAATGATTCTTTTTAATAATTGTGTCAACTTTTGACAAGAAAATCAAGGCTAACTTTATGATATATACTGTGCAATAATTATTATACTATAATTAAGGCCTGTCAGAGCAAAGTCAACAATCTCCCGTCAGACTAAAACTAAGTGAATTGAGATAATTGATTTTGGTATTTTAAATTCTAGATTTGTAATTTTTTTATATATTATATTGAAATATTGTTGTTGTTAGTCTAGTAGCCAACTACAAGGTCTCCAGGATGCATAGTATAGGTGAAATCTATAATTATAAATTGGAGATTGCTGACTTTGATATGAATTGCTGGAGATTGCTCATTTTGTTGTAAACGTTTAAAGAGATTTAGAAAAATAAACAAAAAAATAATTGTTTTTTTTATTCCTTTAATGGGTATAAAATTTAACTATACAATCAATGTGGGAAAATTCTGAACTGGACCACATAAATCTGGAGTTTCTTCTAAATCTGGGACCAGGTTGCCTCGTGCAAAAAAGTTTTTATAGTACAACAATTCATCATCTTCTTCCCACTTTGCCCCGTAATGTTTTACTTGCAATGTTTTGACATTATCAGCCCTTTCTTGCTTTACCTTTACGTCTTATTATGGTATAATAGCACAAAATAAACAAGATAATTTTTTTTATAATTCTTAAAACAATAAAACGTATATATACATATTTTAAATATATTTTAAGTGCCATTTACTGCAATAGAACTTAACAGTATGTACCAGTAAAAAAACAATCTCTAAAATACGTTATAACATCAAATGTTAGGATATCAGGTGACACAAATTACTAATTTCTAATGGTGGAATTGGAGATTGTATACTTTGCTGCAAATCTATCAGTGGAGATTGTCGACTTTGCACTAAATGTCAAAATAGGATTTTAGGCAGGATTTAGCTCCTTTTGCAGCACATAAACTTTATCAACTTATATATAATTAGCTGAAGTACAGTCTCCGCCAAAAATCTAATTTTTGACCAAAAGTGGAGATTGTCGGTTTGGCTATGCTAAAAATTATTTTTATTTCTAAATAGTTTTGGGAGATTGGTACTTTCTTGAGAAAATATACAACTCTAATGATATTTTAAAATCAACGAAAATTAAATTGGACAATTATTTCTGGATTTCGATTTAATTCGTTTAAAAAATATCCATGTAAATATTTTTATTCAAATATAAATTTAGCGAAAAAAAGTAATAAAACGTAACAATAACCATTTGTTATTTTCTACGCCACTGATAATGTGCTTAAACTTTGCCCCATAAATTTCATCACTTTTGGTAATATATTAAAAAGTTAGCAAGAAATGATATAGTATTTAATTTTACTACCAAGCATTCTCCACTTTCTAAGTATAATAACTTTACGAGAATTTTTTAACTACCTAATAAAGTAAAATAGGGCTGGTTTGTGATCGTCCTCTTATATTGGCCAGGTGCATTAAGAAACCAGCCCAAATAATCTATTATTAACTTTTAAACACTAACGTAACTATCGGGAATTTTCGTTTTTTGAAACAAATATTTATTTATTCGTCTACATTAATGTTGTCGCCTTCAAAATAGTCCCCATTGGTTATTATGCACATGTGCCAGCTCCTCTTTCAATTCTCGAAACACTTCTAAAACTGTATCTTTTAATGCCATATATGCTTGCAAAACGACGGCACTTTAAGGTTCTCTTTATTTTTGGAAATAGGAAAAAGTCAGACAGAGGCATGTCTGGCGAATATGGAGGCTGGGGCATCATATCAGTATTGTTTTTGGCCAAAAATTTTGTTCAAAATTTAACAATTTTGGAACAAATTTTGCTGCAACGCGTTTCATACCCAAAACATTCGAAAAAATTTCATGGGATGAGCCAATCGATATACCAACATCATCAGCCACTTCTCTGATGGTTTATAACCATTTCTTCAACTTTTTCCATGTTTTTATCGGTTGTTAATGTGCTTGTGCGTTCGGGGCGTTCGTCATCTTCAACGTCTTCACGGCCATCTTGGAAACTCTTATACCACTTGTAAACTCTTGTTTTACTTATAGCAGACTCACTATAGGCCTTTGTTAACATTTCACAGAATTTATTTCATTTTTTAAGCAAAATTGGATACAAATTCTTTGATCCATTTCTTTTAACGAACGAAAATCGTCGAGCTCATAAAAACACGTCTAACCTTAGCGGCTGCCACAGACAAAGTAAACAATAAAAACAGCCTTAGTTTTTATCATACTTCGGGGGCATGTATACCAACATAATAAAGAAAATTTTATGACAACCGGACCCTCCGAACCCGCGAAATTTAACAATTCTGAACACACCTCGTATATAAGCATATAAGCGTTGAGATTGTTAATCAATGATATAAGGAATAATAAATCAAAATCCAGTAGTAAGCCAAAGTTTTTTAGTTTTTACTTGCAAGTAAAAACTAAAAAACTTTGGCAAAACACAAATAACGTAAGCGATTTAGCTGTGAAATTGAACAAAATTTTTCGAGTAATACTTCTGCCTTTTTCTCTCTTGTATATATATATATATAATATATTATTATAAAAAGGACTTCTTTTGAATGGGGGATAAGGTAATTTGCTGTTATCAAACAACCCAAAAAACAAGTTTAACTTTGACCCAAAGCAAAGATTAAATATACTCTTTCTATTCTAGTATATTTAATCTTTGCCCAAAGTACAATTTTGTGTGCGCTTTTATCTAAAAACATGTATCTTATCTGACGGAGGTGCAGACTTTTTAACGGTAAAAGCATCCATAAAACAAATTTTAAATACTTTGTTCGCAGTGAATTGTAAATGAATACAAAGAAATTTCTAAAACGCAATAATCTTATTTCAAGTGTAAAAGCGCCATAAAATATTTTAAACAGAAACATTAACCATACTGTACTATTTGTAAGTAGATTTAATGGTTAAACAGTCGTATAAAATGAGCTATAAACAAACATTTTCCAAATTATGTTTTATAGGTAATTTAAATTAAAAACTATCTTTACACAGTAAAAAAATGAACTCTAAGCAACACTAATTAGAGTTCACACAGGTCCACACTAAATAGTGTTGTTTTATAACACTACAATCAGAGTTAATTTGTAGTGTAATTTTCCCCAAGTAAGCAAGTATGATTTAACACTATAGCACTAAGGATAAAGTATACTTATAATTTTACACTGTAATAAAAAGTGTTAATTTACCTAAAATCGTGTACTTCTACACTTCCTGGGTAAAATCCCACCTTTGTTCAGTGTAAATTAACACTACTTTGGAAAAGTTCTAATTTTAGAAAGGTACTTTTACTCTTTTAGTGCAAACTTCTAGTGTAAATTAACACTATTATATAAGTAAAACCTATTGGTGGTAGTGAATAAAACGAAAAGGGAAATAAAGAGAAACATTTATTTGGAACAAAAATCTATGACAATTATCAAAATCGGTGCCTTTTAAAATATAATTTTATATTTGAGTCGTATGGCTGGCTTAAGCAAAATGGTTCCTTAAAACGTAAAAGTTTTAGATCAATGCAATGTTTTACTGGCTGTCAACTTGTAAGCAATGAATTATCTTGAAAATTCATCAGTAATCCATTTTTCTTTTATAAAAAAATGGGTGATCCCATTGGTAGAGAGGCGTCAGGCGGCTGTACGTCGGGGATTTACCACACGTGTACAAATTTTCCATAATGTTAATAAAAATGTAAGTATAGGTTAATATAACAACCATTACGCTTGAAAATAAAAAGTAAATCAAGTTTGTATGTATTTATATTATTAATGTTAAGTACTGGACCTATTGCCGTAAATTATAATTTGATATATAATAACGGTCGGATATGGACAATGTCCATTGGACATCCTTTTAACATATTGGTAATTATTGAGTATTAAGGCTTAAAGAAAAAGGAAGTATAATACTTATCAAAAAATAAGAATGTCCCCTTATGAAATCACCGTAATTAAAATCTAACTGAACAAAAATGCCACACTTCCACAACGCGGTATCTCCGGATATGCACTCCATAGCTAGATAGGTACCAACCAAATATTTTAAAACGCATTTCGGTTATTTTTTCAGTCTATTTTGCCAGTATTGATGTAATTTAACTTTAATTGTGATACAATGTTCACTAGTAGTGTAAAGAAAACAGAGCTCTTATAATACTATAATACTATAGTAACATCAAAACAGACAAAGAAATTGGCATGCACTGTAGTGTACATTTTGTCACTATTTAACACATTAAGGGATAATAAACACTCGCATTAAGTTTTTCTACCCTTTTGATTTATTTTAATAATAAATAGTGTGAATGTACCAATAAATAATGTTCATATTCTTTAAATGTGTTTAATAAAGTTAATAACCACTAAATGTTACCTAGTGTATTTTGTAGTGTAACTTTTACACTTACAAATCAACACTAATATTTTTACCCCTACATGCTTTTCAATTGGGAGATGCAGTTTTCTTGTTAAAATCCCATTTTTTTGAATTTTTCTTCATGCAAAAGAAATATCTTCCGAAGAAATATTTTTGGTTCTTATACCAAGAAATAGCTTGCACTTGATTTAAGTTAATATTGTAATACCCTTAAACGAATAGAGAAATCTCTCCCCTCAAGTAATTTAAAAAAAATTATGTACACAGTAAAAAATTTTGCCCGTGTAAATTTTTTAGTGTAGCTACACTAAAAAATTTACACGGGCAAAATTTTTTACTGTGTACATAATTTTTTTTAAATTACTTGAGGGGAGAGATTTCTCTATTCGTTTAAGGGTATTACAATTCGTACAAGGGTATTACAATTCGTACAAGGGTATTACAATATTAACTTAAATCAAGTGCAAGCTATTTCTTGGTATAAGAACCAAAAATATTTCTTCGGAAGATATTTCTTTTGCATGAAGAAAAATTCAAAAAAATGGGATTTTAACAAGAAAACTGCATCTCCCAATTGAAAAGC